ACTTATTTAAGATGCTGTAACGTAATTAGATAAATATTGATTCGGATCACAAAAAAAAAATCAACCCGTTATGGACTATTCTGCATCAAGTTCAGTTTGAGTAAATATAGTGTATTGTAAAGGTACTAATTAGAATTTACAGGATGCCATACCTCTGTTAATTTTTTTTTTTATCAATACATATTGATAAAATTTACCTTTTCATATATCTTTTGATTAAGAAAACAAGATTCCAATGAAACATTTAAAATTATTTACTTAATCGTTGATTGTAGACTATTTGTGTTTGAAGCCTCTTTCAACAGTAATATGAAAATAAGAAGATATCTATTCAGTGGCGGCCAGATTTTATAGATGAAGAAAGCCAAAGTACCCGAAAGATAACTATCGAACTTCGTCTTTCGAAAGATTGAAAATCATATATCCAATTAAAATTTACAAAGTCGGACGCACTTGCACATGCGGGGTTGGAGCTCACAGCCTCAGTGTTGACTGCTGTTGGCACTTTGATAAATTAGTTGGACCACTCTGCAACCAAATCTCCTCATATCTCGAAGAAAAACTCACAAACATATGAAATATATGGAAAAACGACGAAAAATACATACATGTACACAGTCTACTAAAACAAAAACTAAAAAATCTTATTAAAACGAACCCAACTAAAACCCCGGGGTAATACGTCTTATACAACAGTGGAGTCTATATTCGTTTGCGTTTTGTTCACACTTTGTTGAACTGTTATCTTTAAAAAAAACACACAATATATTGTTTACTTCAAGTATTGAACACAGTGTGTTTTACTCTATTGTAAAATTAGAAAAATAGCTAAAAACAATATAGATCAAATAAAAAAAATGTAACTTCTGCAATATCAAAGTGTTTCGGTAGAAATTGCTGTTACGGGTGAAAAGGTAAATACAATTCAAATGTTAGAATGCCTCGTGATTGTTGTCAACCAATCAAAATTACGGATTCTTGTGAGGCATACATGTAATGATTTCATGATAAAGAATAAACAGATTGAATATTGTGACATATAAGACGACTTTAAGAATGCTGAATAACAAAGATTACAACATTTTATGTTATTCAAGAATATTTAAAAATCACCAGTGTCAGTGCACTAAGTAAAAAAATATAGTTATTTCTATTCAGCGACAAACTTGACAACCGTAAAATATTGATAAACAAGCATATTCTATAGTGACCGACCAGCACGTGCTGGCGTTAGCCAAACTTTCTAAGATATGACTCTTTGAATCGTCAATTCAATAACTACTGTATACCAATGTAAATTGTAAAGCGTCATATGTTTATGTTGACAAATAAACTGTCTGTGAAGTAAAGCTAAATTTTAAGGGCGTTCGCTACTCTTGTTTTTGACTTTTGTCAAAAGTGTTGAATCCTTAATTTTATAAAGATGGTGTCATTAAAAAATGACCTACTGACCTCTACTATTCATTTCATGAATATATCGCATGTAGTTTACACATTTTTGTTTTAAATCTTATTAACTTGTTTTCTGATTTTTTGAAAGAAAAGATATACGGTAGTGTTAAATGTATGAAAAAAATCTAGAGAGACTAAAAAAGAAAGGCGAACGATAACAAAGGGACATTCAAACTCATAAGTCGAAAATAAACTGACGACGTCATTATTTCAAAAAACAGCACTTTCTATAATTGAATAAAATTTGTAATATTAAAAAGAAAGAAAAAACCTAAATCTAACATAAACAGCAGCAGTTGTCCTTTTCTAGATTTAGACATTTCAATTTCTAAAGGGAAACTCCATACTAAAATTTACGACAAACGAGACAATTTGTCATTCCCTATTGTTAATTTTCCTTTTTTAGACGGCGATGTGCCTTTGGCTCCATCATACGGTGTTTATATATCCCAACTCCTTCGGTATGCCCGTGTGTGTAGTGATGTCATAGATTTTAACGAACGTAATCAATGCATCACTGGTAAATTATTAAGTCAGGGGTTTCGTTACCATAAATTACTTAAAACTTTTACTAAATTCTTTCATAGATACAAGGATTTGATTAGTAAATTTGGCTGTACCTGTAGGAAACTTAAAATGGTATTTCACATCCTAAATTTTACGGTAATATTGTACTTAAAGCGCGGAAATCACTATGTGATCCGTGTAAACTCATCGAACCATTAAACAAACTTATTAGTAAGGGTTATCGTACCAATGTTGTAATCATATCTCTGAATATAGTTTACATTGGCTCTAATATCGATTTTGTCATTAGCAAACTAAAAGATAACTAAACTTGTATTTTCTTTTCAAACGGGATGTATAGAGACACACACTAGTTCATTATTATCTATAAAGAAGTCACTCTTTACTATTCTTCTACCTGTCGATACATTGATTTTTGGCATTGCACAAGTCATGTCTTCTTTGACTTTTCATGACGTTAAAATACTAAATCCCTGGGATGTATTTTAGTTGATTTCAGTCTCTGATGCATGATGTTTTATTATCAATTGTTTTGGCTTTTAACTAGCTGTCAGTAACTGCGAGTACTCTCAAATCGTACTTTCTTTTTAATTTTACCTGTTGATACTATTTGTAATGCTTTTTTGTTATTTAATGTTAACATGGATCTTGTCTGTATACCAGCTTTGATTATTTGGTATTACTACAAATTTTCTTCGTACTATGAACATCAAAATTATTTCATTTCTCCTTAAATTCTGTACAGGAAGTATTATCTAGCACTGATTGTATAGTTTTATTGTTGATATTCACCCCATATGTACCAAGTGTTAAATTAGTTGTATTGATATTGAAGAAATTACTTGGTATTCCCAAACGGAATATTTTATTCACACAGAAGAAGAAGTATACTTAACAACAACATTATTTTCATTTACCTGTGTATAATATGACGCAGGTTTTTTTCAAAAGTGATGATTTTATAAATATTGTTTAACATTTCACAGTGGTATCATACTTTAACTTTGTTTAAACCTGTTTATTTACTTTTGACCTTAATTATGTATCCCTTATAATTTTTATTTACTATGTATTTGCATTCAGGTAGCACAGATCATATTTATTCGTTCAATGTGTGTTAATTTACGTTTTTTTATTGACTTAAGCCTTCCAATTGATTTTTTATAGTGTGTCTTTCTATGTTGTGATGTTATACTATTGTTTCAGAAAATGGAGAAGGTTTGGTACCATTAAAACGTTTAATTCCGCTGCAAATGTTTGCACCTGTCCTATGTCAGGAATCTGATGTACAGTAGTTGTCGTGTGTTTATGTAATTCATACGTGTTTCTCGTTTCTCGTTTTTATATAGATTAGACCGTTGGTTTTCCCGTTTGAATGGTTTTACACTAGTAATTTTTGGGGCCCATTATAGCTTGCTGTTTGGTGAGGGCAATGCTTCGTGTTGAAGGCCGTACCTTGACCTATAATGGTTTACTTTGTATGCTATCTTTTTCAATTAGAACGCGCACCTGTGAGGGGACTCAAACACTGTTATATGTGCCACTTAAATCATATGTACTATTTCTAATGTATACAATGTTTATGAAGGAAAGCATATTACTGTTCCGGTTTTTTTTTTGTACGTTTAACTTTTATTCCATGATGATTTGATTGAACCTATCAGTATATTTAATAATTTTATAATTTATGTATGTTCAAAATTGTTTTCAGGAAAAAAATAAGTACGTTTCCTTCGTTATTTGTCACAAGTAACAATAAACTGATCTTTTTTCAAGCTGCAGTTTAACTGTAACATTGAATTAGTACTCCTCATAAAATTAAAGTAGTTTAATATATTTTCAGGGAAGTTTACCAATATATGTGGTAACTGGCAAGGGTCAACCCTTGATTCCCATATCTTCAACACCTCAAACCTGTGTCATTACCTGGAGACAAACAACAGAGGACTTGTAGACGGTTTGATCCTCGGAGAGAGCGGGTATGCATGTCGCCCTTTTCTCATGACACCCTATCCAAATCCCAGAGAAAGACACCAGCAAAGATTTAATAGAGCACACTCCAGCACAAGATCCACTATTGAAAGGGCTTTTGGAATCTTAAAGAGAAGATTTCATGTTTTGCACTCTGAGGTAAGAATAATTATAGAAGACTTAAAATATGTTAAAATAAAAATATGTGGTATGATTGCCAATGAGAATACTCAAAACCAGAGACTAAATTACATAGAAGTTAACATCTACAGGTAACCGTACGGCCTTCAACGATGAGATAATCCACGCCACATAGTAAGCTGTAAAGGCCCAAAAATGACGAATGTTAAACAATTCAAACGAGATAAGTAATTTCCAGATGTATGTACAAATAATATATATACGAATCATCTTTACAAACACCCCTTATGATGCATAGCTACAACGATTAAATAACCTCAGCAGTTTCGTACAACAAATGCAAAAAAAACTTCAATCGAGGAGAAAGAAAATATATAGGGAAAAAAGGGACACAAAAAAGAAACTAATTATGAAAAGGACAGGTAGACATTAAGGGAGCTACAATTTAATTTTTAGATGAGGAGGGGGGAGGGCAGGCTAGGATGAAAAAAAAAATTGTCCTGCCTTTTTCTTTTAGTTGTGATCCCTGTCCTACCTTTTTATTTTTCACACTTTTTTTCTAAATTGTCATCCTGCCTTTTTTTATACTCACAACTCCTGTCCTGCCTTTTCTTTAAATCTCATACAAGCCTCCCTCCCTCCCCCCCCCCCCGCCCCCCTCTCCCATAGTTTCCATTATAAGAGCTCTTACAAAAACTTGTGAGGGGTCTGATCATACCTATTGTACTCTTTGTTAATTTGTTCTCATCATAAAATTGCATGAAATATTTGCCACTAGATGCAAAAGCAAACAATCAAAATGAATGGCCTTTATAAAAATAGAGTGGTCAAATCCAAGGTCAGAACACAGTGTCAAAATATAAACATTTCCAATAAATGCATAGCCAGAATTAAAAAAAAAAAACGTACAAATTGTAAAATTCAATTGTCTCGAATACACCAAAAACAATAACACAAGGAGACTCAAAAGTGGTATATATATATATATATCAAAATTAAAAAATGCAAAATATTATTGAACGAAGAAATTGAATCCAAAACATCATTTGTGACTTGGTACCGTACACAGGCATTTTTTTCTGGCAAATATTTGTTGATTGATAAGAAAAATAAATAATTTAATTCATTGAAAGTTGAGAAAATGTTAGTTGAGTATTCTCTTTGTCTCGTTTCATTTCTTCCAGCAACTCTATCTGAAGATCTAATTTCCTCATCTCTTTAGTCTGCTTTGCCATTTCTCCCTTCAAATACAGGATCTGAAATGAAAATGATACATGTAGATCTCTATATTTTTAACATACCGGTATATCTTTATATGTGTCTGTATACCGTACAACTCTTGTGGAATTTACAGAAGTATTGCATGAAATTGAGAGTTCCATATATAGTGTATGACCTGTTGGACATATGCTTTGTCCAGAGGCTGGAAGACCATAAATTTAAATTATTTTTATTGGACGATTTTCATAAAGATGAAAATTGCAACATTTAAAAATGAAATGTTGATTAAGTGTAATTCAAGATCAATTTACGGTCTCACATCATTGCCTATAGATACAAACAAATCGATGGGGATCCAAAAGGTAAATTTTTCTTAGTGTTGATAATGGATTTTTACCTTTTCATTTTTCCGAGTTATGACAGTCTTGAACCTACCACCGAGTCATTCATTATAAGACAATGGTATGTCAATCGTTTCTAAATTATTCTGGATTATTTCTAAAATAAATGCAATTGTGAAATTTTAATTTTAGCTCATAAACATCATCAGCAGTTGCTTTCCTCTTCTTTGAATTTACTGCTTTCTGTGTTGTTAGAGTCCCCAGCTCAACTACTGCAGCTGCTGGGCATTGCATCTGGATATTTACAGCTGATAGAAGTGGTAGAAGTGGTAATGGCTGATGAATGGAATCAGATCCAGATAGGGAAAGTGGGTGGCTTGGAGGGGTATCAAACAGGTCATGGAAATTTGTTGCACTCTCCTCTGGCAATGTACCTGAGTTGTCAACTAGAAAATATAATAAGGTGGTTGTTATAAATTACCATGAATGGAGGTCATGTGTGTCTATTGTTAATCTTTTTTACTTAAAGAGGTTTTTTTGTTTAGCCATTCTTTCTTTGCTTTCATTGACCTAGCCTGACAAACCATATGCATCAATGACAACCAAAATGAGATGGCTAGTAACAGAACTATATCAGAAGACAAACTTCTGTCCAATTATGAGGCAGTATTGCACCATTTAAAATAATTTTCTAGTAAATCTATTGGTTTTGATGGATTCATGGATTGGTGCTATTTCGTGGAAGTCATTTTTTATTGGTGGATGAAGCTGGAGTAAACACCCGACATTAGGTAGGAAAATTTCCAATCCTTAGTCAATTATCATTTGATTGGAGTGCACTGCCCCGTGCTGGATTTAAACTCTTAATCTCACTTACTGGCTATATATATATTGCTAATTGTAAAATGACAACTACTGGCCCATCTACATTTTACACTATTGAAATTGCATCCCCCTGGTATATTTGTCAAAATAAAAAGGACCTGTTCCAGTTGCACTTCTATGTATACCTTTCTGTAGGACCCCCTGCCCCTTTTTATCAACATCAATTTTTCACTTATATCCCACCAAGTTTAACACCATCTATATATATATTTATTTTTAAAATCTTGAACGATCATCAAAAGATTATTAATAAAATTGTTTTAATCTAGGCCTTTACGAGCGTATTCCACGATCGAATTTAATGTACGGGTTAGCCAGGGTCCGAGAGACATCGTCCTGTCGGCTACAAATCAAGGGGAATTAACAGCAAGCAGGTTCTTCCATGAATAAACGAAAATTTAAACTGAACATGTATTGTTCCAAACCATTATTACAACATTGTCAAATGACAATATTTAAAATCAACCATCGTTAGAAGAAAGTGTGTCATGAGGTAATAAGGTTCAAAACCTAATATGTTCATTAGCATGCTGAGCGTCTTTCAAGGTTAATATTTAGGACGTAAATATGTGAATGCAGACGACATAAATAATTGACTAAATGAATTAAAATAACTTACTATTCACTGAGTAAAACAGAATATAGCCGAATGCCAATTAAATAATAAGCTTACACATGATTAAGGATCAATAAATCAGCTAACTACCTGTCAATTTTGGAAGTCATAGTATAAATAAAATGTTATCAACAAAAAGTTACAGGAAATCGGAGAGAATAACGAATTGCATTTTAAGATTTATTATTGTTATATATTCACAAAAGAGTATGAATTAGTTACTGATACATACCAAGTACACTTTCAACTCCTTCAAAACCTTTGAAAGAAGCTGAGTCTTTGCAAAGGTCTATTGTCCTTTCTATGGCAAGATTCAATTTTTTTAGCTGTGGACCACCACCAGTAGCCCTCTGCTCTTTTTTCAATTTGCTAAACACCTTTTTAGTCTCCTTCTTGGTGTTAGCCCACATGTCTTTACAGTTTTTGGTAGACCTGTTGGCAACACCCAGAGCACTGACCTAGATAGAAATCCTGAACCAGACAGCAGTCTTTCTGGAATTGTTAACTCCATCCCCAAACTTTTCATTTAACACTTTGTAATTTGTTTGTACTTGATCTTGTATAACATTTACTTCTTCTTGAGTAAAGTTATGTTTTCTGTCACTTTGTTTTTTAGCAGAAAAAATGTCAGCCATGTTGAAATAAATATTAACAAACCAATGCATTGTGGGTAACAAACATATTCTCTTAACTTTAGTTAAATATTCAAAGAGTGGTTAAAATATTAAACCACGTTGAACAACACCATTTTAACCATGGGTTAAGTAACGACACGTTAGAGATTTTAACGACACGTTACATTTTACGCTTACGTTAAATTAACGACAAGTTGAACAAACGGGCCCTGATTGACAGCCATACAACTTATCCTTTCACATTATATGATCAAGCTGAAATATGATTTATTGAGATGAAATGGAACTGAAAACGTATGAACTATATAAAATAGTTACATTTGAATCAAATATAAAAATATATATATATATAAAAACAGTGTCAAATTCGAACTTTTTCGAAAAAAAATTACGCAATAAAATTATTTCAAACCTGTAAAAACTTATTAGATGGGTGTTTATAAGACGAATGCATAAACCTTACGATTCTGCATTTAAGGATGTACACCTCTGAGGAGCCAACAATTTCTAGAATTAAACTTGTTTTCTTAACCTGAATTTTTGGGTTTGTAAGACTGTAAAAAAAAATTTTGGTGAAGAAAAATTCATATGGTGGTGCACTTCTATTTTTGAAAAGCCAGTTGAAATTACCCATTTTTGATAATTTTTCCACTTTTCATCAATTTTTACTCATTTTTGGGCTATTATCATGAAAAAGAATACAGTTTCACAATTAAACTTTTTTTCATACTTGCACACAAGATGAGGTGGACCAATCTGAATAGATTTATTAAGAAAGTTTTATAAAGTTTTGATGCTTTCTCCGGTCAAATTTACCATGTTGTCAAATTTGTAAATTTGGGATTTCTCTTTTTTTTTAACAAAAAGCATATTATTTCAACTTCTTTGCTTTAAATGATTGTAAAAATACATATTTAAGAAATTTGAAAAGAAAAAAGTTATATGGGATGTTCATGTATCTGGTAAAATCATTTCTTGTACCCCTCAATCATTTTCGCAACATTTTGGCTAATGAGACTGACTTGATTGGTCATAAAATTTGAAATTTTATTTCGAAACAACTACTTATTGGAAATACACTTTTTTTTTACAGAATTAAGTCTGATTATGATATTATTTAAATTCAACGATATTTTCCATTTGTATAACACGTTTTGGAAATTATTCCAGAATGAGATTTCAACGAGACTGAAATGTCAGAAGAATACATCCTTAATCATGCAAACCCCTGAACAAAAAACCGGCGGTAGACATATTATACAATCTGTGTGCAGGTGCAGTATTATATTATCATGATAATGTGTATTTCCAATTGACCGTAAAAGTGTAGTGTATTAAGAATAGATCTATCTTTTTTCAACCAAAAGAAACAGTATTTAAGATGACGAACATGGTATGTTATCGATGAAATATTTGAGGTTGAATAACAAGGATACGATTTGAATCAGAGAATTTAAAACCCTCAATTGACTTTTGAATAAGTAGTTTATTATAGGTTACTAACACTTGACAATTGATAGTCTTTGTATGCAATGATCTTCCACGATATGTTTAACTCACATTAATTTCCCGCAACAATTTTTGTCAACAGTTTTGAAATTTCCGCAGTTTGAAATAAACTTTGATAAGAAGATTTGATATCATTGAATGGAAATAAAATTTGTTTTCATCGTGATTTAGATAGAAAAAAAAGCTATTGAAAGTGTGTACCCCCAAAAACACATCTACTTTTAGTATACAAATGTACTTCAACGTTTTCAACATTATTATGTGTTAATTAGAAGTTAAAAAACGACCAGGATAATATAAACGATTGGTCTATTAGTTCTAAGTTACAATACTACTTCATCAGAAATAGCGTGTTAATTTTATTTAATATTTAACTTAATTGACAATCCATTTACTTGCTATTTCTAAAATTAGTTTGTGCAGGGTTTTAAAATTACTAAACATTGCCGGGATCTAATGTATTAGTAAGTTGTACATTATATGACCTAGTATACATAAACTTGTTCACAAAGAGGAATTCGAAAATGAAAACAAAAATGGTTTCATGAAATATTTCAAAATGAACCCGGGTCATCTATTTATTTCGGGTTGGTGTGTAATTGACACCATCCAAATGCCACCATATCTTTGACGACGTGAGAATAAATGTATATATTCTTCTTCTTGTATATGGTATGCACATGAGCTAGCGGGTTGGAAATCCTCGGGAAAAGTAGAAATTATAACCATTGTATGATGAATTGAAGCGACAGTAGTTTATCGATGTTAAATTCTCGTAAATAAAACAGGAAATGTAATATTGTACATCACACAATTTGTCACTGCAAACATTGTATAAGTACAAACGTTATTTCTCTAAGACCTGAAGAAAAAGTATACATAATATTCGGATTTGATGATGCCTATGAAATTTTATATATTTACATGCACGTATAAATGTATAAACGCATTTCAGTAAGACTAGATATCATATGTAACCATCATGTAATATTTTGCAAAAGAGGGGTATACATATAACTACAAATACAAAACAGTATTGCGATTTTTCAAAATGTGTTGCAATCTTAATATATGTTTTTCTTTTTCAATTTCAATGATTTAAAATTGCATTTAACAAATCATTAATGTGTTGTATGTCTGGAAGTTTGTATGATTTAACACTCGGGGGAAATACACGATTCAAGAAAACAAGGATAAATATACAAAGATAAAACAAAAAAAAAATAAATGTAACTCTTTTACGTTAATTTTCTGATGATGTTTTGTTTCTCTCAAATAATACTGATATAGAGATGCAATCCACTTAATACAAGAAGGCATAATGGTATGCTTTTAAATAGTACAATATAAATGAATCGGAGCTGATACCATGTTTACAATTAATAAACATGTAATGAGATCAACCTACCATGTATTTTGGCAACGTTTTGACACTGTTTCGATAGATTGATGTCGGCAAACATTATCAATAATTTATACAGTATACTAAATCACCCTCAAATTTAATAATAATCATTTAAAACAAAGTATATACAGAGAAATGCATAGTTTTATTTGAAATATTTAATGCATTGATCTGAACATTTCTAACATAATTTGATTAACATCAATACAGTTTTTATATTTTAGTTTTAATGTAGAGAGGTACATTTTCCGAATTCATAATTTTCATAACGAGTAATATACTATCGGGAAAATTACCAATATATAAACCGATGTATATGTATGCACTTAAAATATCACAGGCAAATAGTGTCTTGTGCAAATGTCTTTTATATTTGTTATAAATAATACAGCCACCGGATATTTAACTGTATATGAACGATATGTTAAAATAATCAAATCAACACGTTATGTTTACCTATCGATCTAAAATGTCTGTTTGGTTTGACAATTAGAATATAGCACTTTTGTTCAATCTGTAAATTAATGAGATAAATATCTATTATAATTAGCACACATGGATGTCTTATATATATATCATGCATATTGCAAAACATTCATGTTTGGATGATCTGATTAAATGACTGCAGTTTGTTACTGCGTTTTTTCAAAGTATTATTATCTGTACATGAATAGGCAAATGAGGAATCTTCATTCAGATTAATGATAACTGAGAAATACCAAAACTTTAATGTGTAATTTAAGAAATAAACACCTAGTTTGGTTATGGATGTGTTGAATCTCGTGTAAAAGTTAAAGTTAGTTCATTAAAACAAAAAGATACGGATTCCTACTATAACATATTCATAGACTTAACTATGTCCTACTGCAATTTGCACGACAAACTGTCGACACGTGGTTGAAGGAATGCAAAATATTCATGAACCTATATCGAATGTATCGGAGTAGTGTTACCAATATCATTTACACAAAATGCGTACAGGTGGCTCGTATGTGTTCATGCCGAGTAAAGCATTGCAACTACGCGGAATTGAATAGAACAATAATGTATTTAAGTTCCAATGCTTTATGTTTTAATGTTGGTCATTGTATACAATAACCGATTTAAAAGATTATATATAGTATAATTGTAGGTACGCGTGGTCATAGTAGCCATCAGAGCAACAATTATCAGTAATACAAAATTAAATTTCTCTAACTTTTTTTCAAAAATGCTCAGTTATATTGTTCAACTGTGATTTCGAACAAAATCATGTTGCGGGTAGATGTACAAATGCCAAATATTCAATGTTTACCTATGTAATACAATTATATACATTGTCATTAATGATGATTATTTGTTTGTGCAGTTTTTGTTGTTTTTGTATTAAAACACAATGGTCCTTTTTTATTCCGATGTATATATTATAAATGATGCTCTGCTAAGCTTAGGGCAAACGACGTTATATATATTTAAATAGGAAACAATCATCGATTTGACGTCAACACAAGTACACAAAAACACAATATGTTGACAATAAGCGGGTGTTTTTTTTTTTTTGACAATATATCCATGTGATAATCAATTCGAACGTTAACGTACAAACTCCGTTCAAATTTCGACAAGATTACTAAAAGACTACTAAAAGAAAGTTAAAACCAACAACTATCCGCATAAAAAAACACTGACATTGCGCTATAGTTTATAACAAAGTGACAATACAAACACAACAAACATGGTAACGATTTGACGAGTTAATTCATTTTTAGCGACTTTTAATAATGTTTTCTGATTTTGCAATAATACGCAGTCGTTTACGATTTGAACACTGTGCATGTCTTACTCCGTCACATTCTAAATGTTTTGGTCCCAAGTAATGAGCCTGCAATGCAGTAATTGTCGTTTGATAATGTAGATCATTTTTTTTTCGTTTATTTTCTTTTTGTTTATAGATCATATCGTTAGTTTTCTTGTTTGATTTGTTTTAAATTTGTCATTTCGAAGCTTTGTATAGCCTACTATGTGGTATGGGTTTAGCTCATTGTTGATTGTCGTACGGTTATCAAAAATTTGTTTACTACTAGTCATTTGGTTTCTGCTAGAGTATTGTGTCATTGGTAACCATACCACATCTACATATGTTGATATGGTAAATAACCGACAATTTTGAAGACATTACTACTCTATATATACAATCCTGCCGTCTTACAATTTAAGAAAAGTGGCTGTAATGAAAAATTAAATTCGTACAGCAACTCAAAAAAGTATAAGAATTCTTAAAATTGTGTAATGGTAAAAAAAATAGTAAAATAATACCTAATAGATAGTTTGAGGCAGAAAAAGACTCAAATTGATCACGTAATTCTAATTTTCCCAAATGTTGATTACCCGAATTGATGTAAATACGGAAAGATTGAAAAGTGTAATGATTGCTTACCTCGTCAGTTTTAAATCCCAATTTATTTACAACTTAAAGGAGACAAAAGGATTGGAATAAAATTACCTAATTAAACTTCGTGTTTTAACGATGATATCGCCACGGTAAATCGCTCATCTTTATGTTCATGCGATACGATATTCCATCCGAATAACCAAACGATACCCAATTATCGTGTGTACACGATGCGATTTTTCTGGATGTAGAAAATTAGGCGGACCTCCACTGAAGCCGATTTCAAAATATTTCCGGATGTCATGACTTTAATGTCTCCATTTTTTTAGTCAAAAGTGTGTGTTAACTATTATAGTGTTGATCGGTCTTTAATTATAAGTTTTTACGCTTGAAAAAACGTACGTCATGATATTGATATCGTATATTTATCACAGCTGATTAAAAACGTCATAAATCATGTGATTTCTAATCTTTCTTCCTTCTTTAACAATATCAATTTCCTAGACCGACAATTTTTTTTTTCTATTTGTTTTAGCAAGTTCGACAGGACAAATGTCCATTTGTATAAAGATGAAAAGAAATCATGTGTTTTGATTATAATCATGATAACACTATTCAATAAAGAAAAAAATGAAGAGTTGTCTCTGTAAACAATGATACCATATGTTGTTTACTAAGAGGGCAAAGTAATTTATCCTTTAATTAAGATTAGCATGATTAAAAAACGAGTTTAATCAGTTAGAAAAAAAAAACATAGCCAAGTTTTCACAGTTGACAATGACTCCACAATTTGGATTTATATGTTAATAGAGAAAAGTAGTATACTGATTTAATTAAAATTAAAAACTTCAGTTAATATTACTTACATCTTGTCTGTGCCGTACAATTTCATAAATAACAATTTCAGTCGTAAAAATTAAAGTTACGTGATTATTATAAATAATGTCAAAAGTTATAATGGTAACATTAATAACAGAAACATCACATTATTTTATGAAATTGTCAAAAAGTGTATACAAATGGACGAGATTTAAAACAACTAAGAAGTTATTAAAACGAGCAACACGACCGGTACCACATATAGAGCAGGATCTGCTTACCCTTTCGGTACACCTGAGATCACCTCTAGTTTTTGGTGTGGTTTGTGTTGTTTAGTCTTTAGTTTTCTATGGTGTGTTTAGTATACTATTGTTTGTCTGTCTTTTTCTTTTTTAGCCATGGAGTTGTCAGTTTATTTTTGATCTATGAGTTTGAATGTCCCTCTGGAATCTTTCGCCCCAGAACAAAACATATCAATATTAATACATTGTATCAGTGAAGATGATATAACAATATAAAATACAAATGTATCTTTAACTTTCATAATAAAAACATTACATATTAAGCAATTTGCATAGAACGCATGGAAGCCAACGTTAGAACGAAACAACACATGCACATTCAGTAAATCATATCACAAAATATGTTTATACTAAGAAAACGCTGATTATGAAAAATTAAGTAGCAAAAAACAGTTTTAAGTAAACAATATACATTGTTAACACAAGTAGGAAACTAATACATCATAAGCGGTCTTTGAACATATGAAAACAAAATGTAATTTTATAACATATTTAAATTTAATACTAGTTATTATTACTTGTTATTTAGTTTTTTACTGAATGCAAACGAAATTGTTCTTTCAAATAGTTTTCGATATCTTGTTTCAAGCTCCCCTTGACATTTTGTTACCAATTTCAGTAAGAAATCATCCAATCATCAACACAAATAAATCATTCGTGCTGTTCTAATTAATGAAATTTAATCAGAATGTGCATTTTAAAAGGAACACTGATTTTATTTTCACGACCATGTTTCAGTTATTGCGGAAAAAAATGTCAGTATTTTATATGTATACGATTTACGTGTCTGTCGCATTACTTCCAACTACATTGTTGGTATTCATTCACAAATGTCGAATAGTTCATGATATTCTTTAGCAAAAAACGATCATTCTAATATGTCTAAGCTTTTGTGCATAATGATTTAATATGATATTGTAAAGAAATGTTTTAAATATATGACGTATGATATCGTTATTCGTGATTAAAGATGGTAATTAACATACCTGATGAATTAATCACAAATATACTGTAAATATAGTTGACATCGTTGTACAGAACAGCCGGCGTGGATCCTTGTGTTTTATTCACCATCAACAACTGCTTGTTATTGGCATAATATATGTAACTACCGACGACACCGATAGCATAGAAGTTTGTATTAGGAGTTGTTGAAAGTATTGTTTTAACACCAGAGCCATCGTCTTTAGCTGATTTCATGTCACCATTGTAATTAATCCAGTACAGTCTTTGTTCATCAAGATCTACAATATGTAGAAACAAGTGGTGGATCAATTATAATTCATTCTTACAACAATAATATATCAATGTAGTTCAGTTATGATATTTATAAATATGGTGTAAACTTTACAATTGATTCACCTAGATTAACGACGAAGTAAACAACTCAATGGCATAAATGTTAACAAATTCTATCACTTTTTGTTCCTCCAACGTGTAGGTAAACAAATATTTGATCAGCATTTCGAATGTTCTGAACACTTAGCCGTGAACAAAAAATGTGTTAAACACTAAGACCAAATATCTGCAGAAAGTATGTCAAATGACGATGAGGACATATCTTCAAGTTCATAAATGTACGATATTGCATGTGTTATGTGTGATCGTATATTAATTTGATATTGTTTTCTGTAACTAACAAGAATTATAAATTAGGAAAACACTTGCCAATAATTCTACATATTTCATATATAAAAAGGCACGCATGTAGATACACAGATTTAAAGAAATTGGTTTAAAAATGAATTGAGAGAATTTTGCAGATTTCTTCTTAAGTCTACTTTACATATATTTCGAGAAAAAGCAAAGTGGTAGGAATGGCAATTTTGATTTCAGCTAATAACTAAACACGTTGTTTAGAATTGATACTTGTTGACCGGTTAACATTTTGAAATACACAATTGTAATATAGTACACCAAACCAAATCAATAAATTATTAAACCAAATTCATCAAGTGTCTGTACCGCTATTCCGTATTTGAAATACAACTTTTGAAGTTCTGATCCATAATAACAGTATATTTAATCTATAAAATACATTTTTTACTTTTTTCAGGAACAGACAAACTTCCTTGGTTAAGTGAACTTTCTTGGTGCAACATTTCAATCCAAAAC